CTTTGAGTGGTTTATAACTTAATTCATTAATTACCGGGGGAGGGGGATCTGAATTATTATTTTCGCACCTTCTTGGGGTTTTGCACAAAATTTATATCCACGTCAGTGAAAATTACGATTTTAATAGAATCTTTAATGATATAAGAAAATTTCGTTAGCTCACTCTACGAAAAATCTCTCAAATGACGTATTCCTTGTCAACTGGGAATTATAATAATATGAACTGAGAATAATAATTTAGAATTAAGAGGCCCAAAGTATTATCATTATTCACGTGACTTGCGTTGTCTAATTCAAGTCTAATTCAATCTATTGGTGTTGACATTTCTCTTTTTTCACCTCCTCGGTAGATGGGAAAGTATTTTTTCTTATCATCAGCCCTGAATGTAGAAAATGACAAATTTCATGCAAAATTATTTTCAAAAAAAGCGAATCCTAATTTCTGATAAAATTTATCTATTCATTCTTCAGAATATTAATCTTTATTGCGAATTGAATCATTATTACGACTATTAATCATTATTACGATTCTATTGTCAGATTTCGAAATTGGGGATTTTGTGAGCAATTTATCCATAAATGTCGAAGGAATGGTCGAAGACTTGTTCATTTCCAATTTCAATTTGTTTGAAATACTGGAATCTCAACAGCAAGTCTTGGATAACTTCAATCGGTTGATCGCCTCTGCTCAGAATCTTCAGAGGAAACTTGCAAGACTGATGCTGCACCCCCTTCGTCGAGTTGAATCAAATAGCACAGTGGCTGACTTTGATTCTTCCTCTGACGCTGTCGACGAAGAAGGCTTCGCAGAGGGGGACGGAGCTAACTCCAACGAAGAATGAATGACATAAGCACGAGGACATTTCAGGCGAGAAGTTTGCGTTATCGTTACGCAATTGTATAGGATTTGTATGACACTTCTATTGAAAATTCTATACCTTTTCGTCCATTTTATTAATTAAATTCCGCCATTGAGATACTTTCTACAACTTTCTAAAACACTATGATATTCTGTTGGCATCTTTAAAAATTTAATTACCATGTTTTATTGCCTGAAAATCCCGGTCCAAAACTTTTGTGAATTTTTTTCTTGGAATAATTTTTTATTTAACATTTTTCCTTAAAAACACTAGCGGCGAAAAAGTAATAGACATGTCAATAAAATTCTCAGAAGAATGCGCTATATTTTTTATTATGAATTATCTTCAGAGGAAAATAGGGGAGAATGAGGCAATAAGGACACCTCTCATTTTTCTTGAAATTATAAAAATTCATTATGGTTCTGATAAATCGACGTAGTTTCGTTGTAAAGTATCTCTTCTTTCCTTTGTAATGAGTCCAGTCTGAGCAGAATCGATGAGTTCATGTCTGAGTTATGAACATTTAGAACGAAGTTAAAAGTGTCCATTTCACTCTGTTCTCCCCAATCGAACAAGCTTTAATCCTAAGAAAATTTTGTAGCTAAGAAAATTTTTAAAAATGATATATTATGATATTTCCCTCTACAATAATTCTACTGACATTATTACCATACCTGATTGTAAACTAATACAAGATATTTCATTTATCTCCAGATGCACGAAAAGATTTGAAATAAAAACCTCTAGAATTGCTATAGAACTCTCTATTAGTTTTATGCCATTTCTATTGACGTAATCTATGGAAATTATTGTATATGATGAAAAGTCGATAGGATACGTTTTTTCCATACAACTCTTTCTATGAAATTTTTTTTATGGAATTTCTCCGGCATAAATTTTCTAAGATTTTTTGTCTTGATGGAGAGTCATGAAGAATAGAATGGAAAAAATGCAAAATTTAAGCCGAGAAAATTCTATAGAATATATTTTAATAGAAGAAGTTGTATAGAAAAATCGAACTCTATTGAATATTTTTATTAAATATTCTCTAGTGAGCATGTCCATAGAATCAGCTATAAACTTATAGAAAATTCTATAGAAATACAGTAGATTGTCTAGCAAATTCGCTAGGTTTTTCTACTTAATTTTTTCTTACGTGAAGTCATTTCATTACTTATTAATGCCTTTATTATTTCTGTAAGAAAATTACACTATAGGTTTACTGTAACATTATGAGGATAATTTAATGCGTAAATGGATGTAAAAAATGAAAATTTTCTCCGTCCCTCAAGGAATCAATTGATGAATTCCAATACTTCAATGATATATAGTTGCCTTCTATTAAGCCCCTCATGTGTTTGTTCAATTCTGTTAATAACAACGATAATAACAAAAATAAATGAATACTTTTTCTGATAATAAACGATTAGTTATTAAAACATCACTCCTATTCTCTCATCACGATTAAACACGGACTGAAATTCCGACAATACAAATTGATCGACAGGATTGGGATTTTCTCTACAGCTTATTCTACTGAGATGTTACGTATGGAAATCTAGTCTTATATTGATCAAACTTAATGCAGTTGATCAATTTACAACATTCAGATAAGTGAAGAATTAGGATCATCGATGCTGGTCAGCTTGGAATGAAACCCATCTGACCATCTTTGTCTAAGCTAAGAAACTTGGTTAGATATTATGTCTTTTGGCCTCCTCCCTGGAGGAACTGTTCACCGAAATATTATCGTAGAAAATTATGAAGATCTACTTGCATCCAGCCATTCCGTTTAACCCCATAATAAGTATTTCATTTCACAGAAAGCTGTGTTAGGCTATTTCCAAATCTGATTAATTTATATATTTCGTTTTTTTCGTTTGAAATTTCCCTTTGCAAACAGATTCCTCCATTGATGATTGATATCGGTTATTGCAGTCGTCTCCAGTCCCTTCAGTATTTATTAATTTCCTCAATTACCTTCTGAAGGAGTTATTTCACAAAAAAAGGCACCGCACTATTTTGTTGCCAATGAAAATAGAAATAAATATATATTTTTCATATTTTCCAATCAAATTACTCCTACCAAGATAATTCAATGTTAATATAACTATCAACATTTACTTCAAAAATTGACAAACTGATTTATTTATTTATTTATTCTTGTACTAGAACGATATATATATTTACTTGTTAGTCCCCTCATTTGGTTAACATTGATGGCAATGACAACGAAAATTAAAAATAAAAACAATTATTTTTTGCTCCGAAAAAAGAAATATTCAAAACGTCACTCCAATTCCCCATTCCCCCCATATCACAATGAAGCACGAAACATAATTTCGAAGATGCGAGTCTGTGACGCGAATTTCAGTCTAGTTACTTCGGCTTCAGTATTTACCGCCGCCTCACCTCCATCTGCGCCCAACTTCAAGTCTTTTACGAACTTATTTGACCGATTGTACACCGAATGGACCATGCGCATATTTGAATTTTGGCGCTTCTATTGATATGTCACTAGCAAAGTGGTGGGCGTGGTGGTCACCCGCGTGAGGGGAATAAGGTATGATACAGGGAGGTATGGTGAAGTTTTGATGTCGCCGACACCGAAACAGGGGACAAGTTCCAATGGAAGCCACGCGCGGCGCTGTTGCGTCCCTTCCGCTCACGCGGATTAGATCTCCCACCACACGCCGATTTTACTTGCGTCGCNCCACATGCCGATTTTACTTGCGTCGCGAGTTCAAATCCCCGTCAAATCAATTTTTTTTTTCATGACAGAGAAATAGTATATTTCGTAACGAGTGCAAAAAAGTGGTTTTTGGCGGGTGGGAGGTTTATATCACGATCCAAAAACCACTTTTTTAACGAGTTATGAACAAAATTTTTCATCACAATGTGTCGGAAAGTTACTTCTCCGATACAGCGTGATGAAAATAAAATTTTGTGTTCAATCGAGAGGAACAGGATTAAAAAATGTTGAGATGAAAACTATATGATTCTCAGCAAATAGTTCTATGGGATCGAGCGATAAAGATTGACTGAGAGTCATGTCGACTAGACGATTGAAATACTAATTAGAAGGAAGAATAATTAACATCAGAAGTCCATTTAATTAATTATTCCTCTTCTCTTCAGTGAAGCTTAATAGGGAAGAATTTGGAGGGATGGGATTACGATAATGAGGATCCCAGTTTGAACTATGTTTTTTAATGTTTTCTTCTATGAACAAGTTTTGAAAAAGATACGAGGGTCATAATGGTCACGAGGGGTGAAATAAATGAGGTACAAGGGGTTTCAAGATCCACAAAAAAAAAAAAATGTCCCAACTGTTCACTTACGCACCTCACACAAATAACAATCGTTCTTTGACACTTGATCACTCGATAGCAAATCACCGCTTTTTTCCAGCCATTGTCGTCGCTTCTCAATTTTTTTCACACTGGGAAGGGAGAAAAAACGATAATTATCCCTAGAAGATGCTTTGCAATTTATAATTGCACACGATTTAACCATTTTGCATGAATCAACTCGCACAGACTGTTCAGATCTATTGGAGTACGTTTTGGAGCAGACATAAACAAACAACATTCGCGAGATATTTTCGCGCGAAAAATAAATATTGTTCAACATTGGACAAAAATGCATTTTCATTTTATTTTTAATGCTATTACATTGAGCAGTGATTTCACTCTCAATCTTGGTAATTATTTTCAGTAAAAAAAGAAAGAATTCACCTATTATAAGATAAAAATCACCCCATTAATGAAAGAGTGAGCGGGCCATTGACTATTAAAGAAATAGTACATGAAAAACCATGAATATATTTGCATTTTTTTATTTTTCTTCGCATTGTACATGTAATTTCATACGGGGCTAATTATTTTGACTTAAAATATAAATTTCATAACGTTCCCTCCAGCAAAAAAAGTGCCAGTGGTGGGAGACTAAAGGAGATGAGGGGAAGCGTAAGTCGACCGGAACGCCGCTTCTGGCGCTCCGGCGAACTTGTCCCCTGTTTTCTGGCTTCATCATACCTGCTTGTATCATACCTTAGAGGGGAAGGGACGCAACAGCGCCGCGCGCGGCTTCCATTGGAACTTGTCCCCTGTTTCGGTGTCGGCGACATCAAAGCTTCACCATACCTCCCTGTATCATACCTTACTTTTTAGTCAATCCTCTTTGGCTCCAAACCTGAAACAATACAACAAAAGGTTAGGTTTCCCACGTGTTTATAATTCTCTGTTTATATCACTCCGAAAATTTGACATTTTCGTTTGTAATTGATCAATACAGAGTGAATAAAATCGTTTAAAAATGCCGAAAATACGGGTGGAGAAGAAGAGTCGGGTCCATGAGAAAATCGCCAAGCAAGGTACAATTGATCATGTTTTATTTCATTATTTCTGATAGTGAATTTTTGAAATTTCCTCTTTCGTGGCTTCAAACATTTCACCACAAAATTATATCAATTGTATTAGTCAACATTGACATCAGTGTTAATATTAACATGTTTTTAATATGATATTTATGTTGAACAATTCCACACACTAAATCCGACATGAAAAAAATTTTATGCTTCCGATTGTCTTGCCGATTCTTTTTTGAGAAGGAGTAGGCGAGACCAAGCTCTCATAAATTTTTTAGAGCGATTTGATTTTTTTTTCAGCGATTTATGATAATATAATTGCCATAATTGAAATCTAATAAGGATTGCCTGGGAATGACTCGCCTGGAGAAATACGTTATTAAAAGAATTAATACTTCCGTCAAGTAAATGGATACTTGGCAAAAATTTTTTTTCTCTGTGCAGGAATGACAGTCGGTAGAGGCTTAGTTCCACTTTGTTCGAAGCCACTTTGATGTTGCCGTGTGGGCCTGCATCTTCATATGAATTCCCTGTTGAAGAAAAAAATTTTCTGTACTGCTTCTCACGATTTCTCGTCTGGGAATTGGTATTACATACTTCCTAAACTCGAAAACTTGAAAATCACTACAGAAAAATATTGTTTTCCTGGACTGTTGCGATGGGGTTTTTTTACTCGTGTGGTTGGCCACTCCTCACCTATGGCTCGGAGGCCAACGCCACACGAGTAAAAAACCCCATCGCAACAGGCCGGAAAAATACTATTCTTCATAAGTTGTTTCAACATTTTATGTGAGGCGACAACATTGAAAGAGTCAAAAACCAAGACTGTCACAATTCCAAAACGATTAGAAAATCCAATCTGCCGTAAATTCATTGATTGTCAAATAAGTCATAGTTCTTAAGAGTCCCCTCCCCTCCCCTCCCCCACTGTAAGGTTCAGGTGGATAGTTATATGTTCCGAAGTGAAATATGGTTTAAAATAAGTCACTTTCAACTATTACTGGCCATAAAATTTGTTTTCTTAGACATTTGCGCATTGTTCCCGGAAACAAATTTAAGAAAACACTTGATTACCGAAGAACGACTACAAAATAACTATAGTTCTTTGGTGAAAATATCGGTAATTATGCCCCCAAGTTACCCCTAAAATTTCGGATAAAAAAAAAGTTTTCGAATAATTGCAGATAGAAAAAAAAAATTTATTTTGCCATAACGACTCATAATTGAATAAATTGTGTTCAAAGGCAATCATTTTCAAGCTCTTTCCGTTACCTTCCAATGTGTGAAAACGAAAATTCGATTCCTAATGATTAAATTCAATTATATTTCACCTTTTTCTCAAACAATTAAAATTCAAGTTGAANATAATATAATTGCCATAATTGAAATCTAATAAGGATTGCCTGGGAATGACTCGCCTGGAGAAATACGTTATTAAAAGAATTAATACTTCCGTCAAGTAAATGGATACTTGGCAAAAATTTTTTTTCTCTGTGCAGGAATGACAGTCGGTAGAGGCTTAGTTCCACTTTGTTCGAAGCCACTTTGATGTTGCCGTGTGGGCCTGCATCTTCATATGAATTCCCTGTTGAAGAAAAAAATTTTCTGTACTGCTTCTCACGATTTCTCGTCTGGGAATTGGTATTACATACTTCCTAAACTCGAAAACTTGAAAATCACTACAGAAAAATATTGTTTTCCTGGACTGTTGCGATGGGGTTTTTTTACTCGTGTGGTTGGCCACTCCTCACCTATGGCTCGGAGGCCAACGCCACACGAGTAAAAACCCCCATCGCAACAGGCCGGAAAAATACTATTCTTCATAAGTTGTTTCAACATTTTATGTGAGGCGACAACATTGAAAGAGTCAAAAACCAAGACTGTCACAATTCCAAAACGATTAGAAAATCCAATCTGCCGTAAATTCATTGATTGTCAAATAAGTCATAGTTCTTAAGAGTCCCCTCCCCTCCCCTCCCCCACTGTAAGGTTCAGGTGGATAGTTATATGTTCCGAAGTGAAATATGGTTTAAAATAAGTCACTTTCAACTATTACTGGCCATAAAATTTGTTTTCTTAGACATTTGCGCATTGTTCCCGGAAACAAATTTAAGAAAACACTTGATTACCGAAGAACGACTACAAAATAACTATAGTTCTTTGGTGAAAATATCGGTAATTATGCCCCCAAGTTACCCCTAAAATTTCGGATAAAAAAAAAGTTTTCGAATAATTGCAGATAGAAAAAAAAAATTTATTTTGCCATAACGACTCATAATTGAATAAATTGTGTTCAAAGGCAATCATTTTCAAGCTCTTTCCGTTACCTTCCAATGTGTGAAAACGAAAATTCGATTCCTAATGATTAAATTCAATTATATTTCACCTTTTTCTCAAACAATTAAAATTCAAGTTGAAAAAGGGAAATTTTTTGAAAAATCATAACTTGCTGGAAAAAAATAGAATCAGTCTAAAAGTTTTATGAAAGCTTTGTTTTCATGGATACTTTCTCAAAAGAAAAAAGACAAAACAATCGGAAATATGACATTTTTTTCATTTCGGATTTGACGTGGAATTGCTCGTTATTAAATTCTCCTTTATTGTTTATCTGGACAGATCAAAACTATTGAATCGATGTATATTTAGGGGGAGTTGAAAGGAGCTTTCTTAAATTATCAAAATCACCTGTCCATATGATGCGATTTAAATGAGTCACATCTCATTTTAAACCTAAGAAAAACTGTCTTGAAAATGAAAAATCAAGCAGGGGTTCGAGCCTATCCGACAAAAGGCATGTTACCATAACTTGTTACGTTATTAATGTTTTGCTTTCTTTGATTTCTAACAATTCCATTCATAGTAAGCTTCCGAATGAATTCGTAGCAACTCCCTGTGACAGGTATACAAGCGCAACCACATTCAACGGGATGTCTGCAGGGAGATGCTGAACTTTTGATGAAAGAGATTTATACAAAATGTTAAATATCTCCGAAACCGCTCGGCCGATTGTACCCATCCAAAATAACAACCCTCAATATCACAAGAGCTATAATCATAAGAAATTTCAAGTTACTATCTTTATTTTTTCTCACACTATCGCGCGGAAAAGATAAAAAAAAATTTATCCTCAAAACGTTCATCCTTCCAAAACTGAGCATTAAATTTCGGCGTATGTACTAAGACAGGAACATCTATACAACCTTGTTTTTCGAAAATGATGATACAATATAAAGTTATATGACATTTTGAGTCATCTTCATGTGAAAATCAATGATAGAACAACGATATTTCATTCTATGCAAAAATAGTATATTTCGTAACGAGTGCAAAAAAGTGTTTTTTGGCGAGTGGGAGGTTTATATCACGAGCCGAAGGCGAGTGATATAATCCCACGAGCTAAAAAACATTTTTTCACGAGTTACGAACAATATTTTTCATCACGATGTGGCGGAAATTGGACTTTTAGGCACGCGGAGCGTGCCGAAAAGTTCACTTTTCGTCACAGCGTGATGAAAACGTTTTTTACATCAATTGTTCTATTCCGAAAAGTATCAAACCGATCAATTTGAAATTTTACACAGGCGTGCAACTCGATTATACTAATTATATAGTCCTCAACATTACCAAATTCCACTACATCCTTCACTCATGTACTGGAACTGGAACGTCAATGGAAATTTCAGACAAAAACAAAACATAAAAAAGCCAATATCACGTAAATTTTGGATGAACAGGTATATATTTTTGAAATAACTAGATGGAAGACATTGAGACGAATAGTTTTTGAGATATTGAGCAATATATTTTTTTTTTTACAAAAAATGGAATATCTCGAAAATTACTCATTCGATTTCGCCATCTGAAATCTCAGCCTGTAATCTAGTAAGAGCTCAAAAACTACTGGACCGATTGAGCTGAGATTTCGCCAAGATGTACTCCGAAATAATATCAATTACGAGCCTTTCGTCCTTTTTGTTTCCGAATGGAAGCTTTGCATTGAAATGATATAGAATGAAGTGGAACGTAAAGAAAAGATGTTTTTTTGTAACATGTCTATAGGTATGTGTATGAAAATTTCGATTTTGGGTGATTTATTTTTGGAAAATGTGGCTTAAATACGGTTAACTTCATCGAAAAAAATCGGAAACTTCGAGATATATTCTGAAATCCTGAGATATAACAACACGGAGAGAAATGTACGAGAAAAATTACCGTGCTCGCACAATAAAGTGGGTTCAGATCGTCTTTCCAGGCGAAATGTACTGCAAAGAGTAGGAAAAAGTACAGTTGCGCGAGTCATTTTTCGGATAAATGCGGCGAAAAATTCTTGTGCAGCACGGTAAAATCGAAGCGACAGTGAATTTTGACGAGAAATACGAGAAAAATTATGACACTGGCTATCAAATTTTTCCGGTGCTCTACCAGAATCCTAGGACCCGATCGCGCATCTGTAAGATTTCGGCACTCTTCGTCCCCCCTCCGCAGCCCCGAACATCAACTCAACGTGACCAGATGATTTATTCCGTCGCCTCCTCTCACATATCACCTTACTGAAACCCCAGGTTAATGTTTTTCATAATATCAATTCAGTGAAATATTAATTAGTGTTGTGATAAAACGGTTAAGAAATAAAATAAGTGACCTTTATTGTCTCTTCATGAAGTGTACAACGCTGTAGAGATACATTGGCCTGTCAAACGTTCCACATACGTTTGCCGCGCATTCCGCTTTTAATATGGGAGAGAGGATATGGAGAAGAGGTTGAAATAAAATTAATAGGACGATATGCTGAATCACAATGTTTACTCATTTTTAACTATTGAATGTAATTTATCATGTAATAGAAAACAGGGATCAAGCTTTTATTATGCGGTACCGGAATTTTTACTATGCAGCATCGGAATTTTTCTAGTGCTAGACAATTGAACCCACTTTACCAGACGGCACGGTAATTTTTGCCTGAATTTCTCCTGAACAATTCTGGAATTTTTTTCTCCGTGAACTTGTTCAAATTTCGTTTTCCCCCTATATCTCAAAATCTACTGCACCAATTCCACTTTTTCTTTCTTCAGAATATTCGTCTCAAGGGTTTCACACCAGATCAATCAAATATGCATACCTATTCAACAATGTTTTCAGCAAAAGTTGTAATCGGCCGAGCTTCGGACATATTTAACGTTTTGTATGAATCTGTCGGATAGACTCGAAACCCTGTTTGTTCTGTGAACATTAAAAAAAAATTCCCAGAATTTTGCACGCACATACGGACGTATAAGCAGACATTTTCTAAAAACATCATATCACGACGTTTCATGACATTCTAAGTAATTCCCAAGCAAAATTAGAGAATGTAAAAATCGATCAATTACAAAGCTTCCATCCGGAAGCAACAAAATCTTAGAATTTCACTCTACCAATCTCAAGTTAATGATTAAATAAAGCGTTTTTTCATCCTCTTTCTGCTAATTTCATTCTTTTTAATTTCTGCTCAGGACTTTCCTTTCCGTAAATCGTTATTTTGTTCTTATTAGGTATCATGTTCAATAAGGATTTTGGCCAGCACATACTGAAGAATCCTCTCATAATCCAGAGCATGGTGGAAAAGGCAGCGTTGAGACCTACTGACGTTGTCCTCGAAATTGGTCCTGGTACTGGTAACATGACTGTGAAGATGCTGGAGAAGTGCAAAAAAGTCATTGCCTGTGAGGTGGACACCAGGATGGTGGCGGAGTTGCAGAAGAGGGTCCAAGCAACTCCTCTCCAGTCCAAACTCCAGATTGTTGTGGGAGATGTGCTCAAGGCTGATTTACCATTTTTCGATCTATGTGTTGCTAATGTTCCTTATCAGATATCTTCACCTTTGATGTTCAAACTTCTGCTCCATCGTCCTCAGTTCAGGTTATCATTTATCGATTAAATAATTAAAGGAGTAGAATAATTTTAAATTTATCGGATAATGGATCGATTGAATAGTTTGATGACTTGAATAATTTGTCTAATTAATTGACTGAATGATTTGAGAAGTTGAATAGTTTTTCTAATTAGGTAAATGTCTGGAGAATGGGGAAAATTCTTCTGTTAAATGATGAACTGCTTGTTCATTTATCAATTTTAGTTTCAGTTCGATATCTTGATTTGAATAAAAATTCTTTTCCTTAAAGAATCTCCTTGTAACTTAGAAAATGTTCAAGAAAATAAATTTTTCTTTACATTTTTTGATAAAACTAAGAATTGAATATTGGTCTAGTTGTTAATTGTTTCGAAAACCAATAGATTTGGGGGAAAAAGATCACAAGACAGGAATATCACAAAAGAATTTTCGTTGAGTTCGAAGGGCTCGAATTTATTTTATTGACGTTATTTATTTTTCTAGATGTGCAGTACTCATGTTCCAGAGAGAATTCGCCGAGAGATTAGTAGCTAAACCCGGTGACAAGTCCTACTGTCGATTAAGCGTAAACACCCAGTTATTAGCCAGAGTCGACATGTTATTAAAAGTTGGCAAGAATAACTTCAGGCCACCCCCTAAAGTCGAGTCGAATGTCGTGAGAGTCGAGCCAAAAATACCCCCACCCTCTATCAATTACCAAGAGTGGGATGGGCTGACGAGGATAGCGTTTGGAAGGAAGAATAAAACTCTTTCGGCTACCTTCAAACACACGACTGTTCTCTCGATGCTGGAGAAGAATTATAAACTCCATTGCAGCCTTAATAATAAGGTTTGTGACTCTTACTCGTGAAATTTATTGACTCAAACTCATTCCCCCATTTTATTAATTTGAAATGATTTTTCTTTTGCTGTCTAGCCAATTCCTGAGGATTTTGACATCAAATCATTGATCATGGAGACACTAGAGCAAGCGGAAATGGGGGACAAACGTGCCAGGACCATGGACATGGACGACTTCATCAAGTAAATATTGTTTTCACATTTCAACAATTTTGACTTTATTTAATTGAAAAATATTAATTTTTTATTTCTGTTTTTTTAGACTTCTGCACAGTTTTAATTCCGCTGGCATTCATTTCTCGTGAATCTGCATTGGATTAATCATTTTTTATTGTGGAATATTAGAACTGAATAAATTTTATTTATACTCAAGTATGATATGGATTAAGTTTCATGTTTTTTCAATAACTGAAATTTCAGAGCTTTCATATAATTTTTTAAAAATATATTGAAAAATGTGTTTCGAAAAAAGTCGAAAGAGATATTTCCGTGAATCGTGAAATTTTCGACAAAAAATCTCCGAACGGATATTTATAATTATGAGAGGAATTGTGGTTTAATTCAGATGCATAACTCCTTCTTGAAGAATATTTTGAGAAAAATGTTTCGTAACGCACCCTCAATATGAACATTTCCATAGATATATTTTCTGGAACTCATTAATTTCCACGAAAATATCTTTATTCCCTCAGATTCACAGGTAATCGCAAAATTCCAATGTCCCCCATCAACTCTTCATTCTACCCTTCACTAACCTTGCGAAACCTGAATGCCAAACCTAAAAAACCATGATTGATCATCCTTTCTATTTTTCACATAAATATATATATTTTTTCCGTCTCATGTACTTGCGAAAAGTCTTCGCTAGTTGGTATTATATTGGGAATAGAGGTAGTACTGTGGGGGTGAGCTTTGCGTGTCTAGGGTAACGGTGAGCCATGAGAGAAGTGGAATAGTTGGGCATTGGGATGTGAGAGTGAGTGAGCTCTGCACGAGGAATGAAAATTAGATAGAAAGGGATGGTAAATGGGAACGACGATCCAAGAGGGAAACCAGCCGGGGGGTAAGGGTCCCTGAGGAGTCAGTGGTCTCCTCTGGCGCTGGCAGCCCACGAGAGAGAGGGACGGAAGAACTAATCAGCCTGGCGCATGTGCTCTGGACTCTTCCATCATCCCAGGGGAATATCCTAGCATCCCCATAATATACCAGAGTCTCTCCTCACTTCTACTCATACCGTCTTTTTTACTCTTTCAGGTTAAAATTTCTTTTGTCTTTTCACTTTTTTCTCTCGAGTTTTTAAGTTTCTTGGTTTAAAAATTACGAAATTTAAAAATCAGCTTTAGTTTTTGATTTTTGGTATTCGTTTCTTCGGGAAGTTTTTTCGTTCGCGGGATGAGGGGAAATTCTGGTAGTACCAGGGGAGGGCTTTTTGAGAGGTTTCTTTAGGTAGTCTGTTAATATTAATTGACGGGGCTTTATAATAAAAATCCCTTGGTACATTTTGTCAAGGCCAATGGGGTAAATATTTGTGCTTCATCAATTATTAATTGGAATCAGTTTTAAGGGCTTTTAAGGTTTTTTTTTGGAGATTGTTATGAGAGTAGTGGAGGTGAGAATTAAATTGACGTGAAAAACCAATCTAAATTATCAGATATAAAATGCAATTTTATATTCAAATTAAAATCGATGATTTCTTCTATAATTAGACAAACCAAAATTTTTATAATATTTTTATTCGTATGATTTTTGTAATATTATAGTGATGATAAGGGTCATGAGTGTCAGGAAATTTTTTAAGAGAATTAGGAAATGCAAGAATAAAAAATGCAGGCGGCTGTATCTTCGATACAGCTGTAATTGTACGTGGATACGTCCATGGTCTTTCCTTCTTACTCGAATTTCCTAGAAACTCCGTGCATTCCCTCGAATTTTCTGGAAACTCCCTGAATTTTTTAGAAATTTCAAGAAACTTCTCGAGTTACCTCGAAATGTCTAGAATTTTCTAGACTTCCGATAGATGGCGGTGCACATAATAACGACCGTTTTCCAAAATGACCCCCCCATATTGAAACTATAGACGTATCCACGTCAATAATTTAAAAAAAAATCATGGAGGCAGATGTTTTTTCTTATTATTTAGCATCATGTTTACGCTTTTGTTTAAGGTTTGTTTCTGGATAAGGGTCAGAAAATTTAATTTGAAAAATCAGGAATTAATGAATAAAGCAACGAAATATAATAGATAAAATAATATAATAGATTATGAATATGGAATAATAATTACAGGAATTGAAAAAAAAATTATCAACTTCCTGAATTTCTTAATTACCGGAATTCTTATTAGGAATGTGAAAATGACCGCAATTTTTTCTTTCGTCATATGAGAAATTAATGACAGTCATGTGACGTCATATTTTTTGGTCATAATTTCAGTAGTTTAATATTGTTACTGGTATTTTTAGTTAGAATATGACGGTCACATAGGATTTGTGTCATATAATATACCATAAAATGAGGAGTGAACATGATCTATTTAATTGGAATGTGACGGTCATATATTAATGACGTCATAATTAGTCATGTGATGTGCCACTGACGTGTCACAAAATTTTTGCACATCCTTAATTCTCATCAACGATGCTGATGACTTCAAACACGACTGAACACAACTGACATGAGCATATGACAGATAAACGAGCAATAGGTGGTGGGGTCGGATAAATTTACCAGGTAGTGCGGCGGGCAGGGGGGTGAAGGGGGAGGCTGGGTGTTCCACAAGCCCGCCTACCGTCCAATACGGTTGCTGGTATCCCAAGGGGTCTCCCTCAGCCTCACCTTCTCCTCTTGGTGTACAGAGTTCCCTTTCTCCATGAGTCCGCAAACTCCGTAACTGCTTCTCGGGAGGTCTCTCTTGCAAACTGGGGGTTGATAATACCGTACACGGGTCGGACCCCTTCAGTGTTTGTCCATAGTCCTCACTGTAAAGTCAAGAGTAACGCTCGAGATTTTTTCATTTTTGAATTGTTACTGTCGGTTTATGAAGAGAATTATTTTTTCAACGGCTTTTTTCTTTATTTTTGGCGAAAGGAGGAGGTTGCTATCAATTGGGTCACGTGTATGTTTGTTGATTTTATTTCATTTTTGTACTGCGAAGACAATGTTTATAATTGACAGTATGGAATCATGCCTCTATTTTTGAGTTTTTTGAGTAAAAAATTGGTTGCGAAAAATAAGTTTTGAGACGAAGTGCAATTTTTATAATTTATAAATGGGCTCATTTTGAATATTTTAAGATTTTGTTAATTTTTTGGGATTGGAGGGGAATTGTTGGAATTTCCAAGGGTTCATGATTTTCACTACAAATTTAAAGTTGTTTCATGATGAGAATTATTTTAAAAATGTCTTTGGCCTTATTCATTTTTGTAGAGGAGCGAAGCGGGGGGGAGGGATTCATTGTTTGGTGTCACGTGTCCGTTTGTTGATCTTATTATTTATTTTTATTTTGGAAATATTTTTTTAGAATTGGAATCATGGAATTAAACATTTATTTTTGAGTTGCAAATTAATTGTCAGAGATAATTTCTGACGTGAAATGTGATTTTTGTCATTTGAAGAAGAGTTGTGACTTTGAATATGTGATAATTTAGGTAATTTGTTAGGTTTGGAGTGGAATTTTTGGAATTTCGAGGGTTTTACCGTCCTCACTGTGAACTTTTTTTTTTCTTGATTGTTGCAATTGTTTCACGATGAGAATTATTTTGTCAAAATCTTTGTTGATTTTTTTGTTTGTTTCTTTATTTATTTTTGTTGAAAGCCCCTCGGCTTTATTTTGTGGGGGTTTATCGATTGGAGTCATGTATACCTTTAGTATTTTTTTAAAATGTGAAAATATTCAAAACAATCAAGATTATGAAAGCATGAATTTTATGATTTTGCATATTTCATAACTCGGTTGATTCTGTTGGAATAAAATTAGGAATTTCGGGGTTTCTGTCGGTTTAATATGTCTTTATCTTCAATTCCAGATGATATTTTCGTCAACACCGAACAGTGACAATAGAAATGGCGCGAAATAACAGTGATGACTTCGTTTATTCGAAAAAGTAGAGAATTTATCGATTGAAAAGATTGTTTTTCGCTGACGTTTATGAGATTGAGGGTATCAGGATGCTGTTCAAGGGGAATAGCTCCAGGCTGGAGTTTCTAATCGAGAAGATACAAGCGCATAAAGAATCACCTTCACCTTTGCCCGAGAAGTGCAACGTGAAATTAAAAGGTAAATTGTTACGTTAAAAAATTATTCCCTCTCCAAATTTCATAATTGATAGGTGCTTAGGGATGAAAAATGAACCCTGACAAATTAATTTGAGTCAGAAAAAAATTATGCCCCTCCCCCTTAACTATTTACTAGAACTAAAGAAAAGAATATTTTTCTACTAAGGAGAATTTTTTTCTTCTGAAGAAAAAAATTATCATCAAGAGATAAAACGAAAATTATCGTTGTGAAGTCCTATGAGAATTTTTATGATCTCACGACAATTATTAACCCTCGATCTTTTAACTTTCTCGAGAAAATCTCATTGACAATAAAAAATGCAATGAAATTCCTCTTCCGTTATGGTGCAATGAAACGAAAATGATGAAGTAAAAATTATTTGCCCTATTATTTTTATAATTGGAAGGTTCTCAAGGGGGAAAAATCACCCCAGACGATTCAATTCGTATGAGAAAAATGATTCCCCCAATATTCACCACAACTGTAGAAAAAAAAAACATTTTTCTTTTGAGATTTTTTTTGCTTCTGAGGGAAAAAAAATTATCTTCAACAGCTAAAAAAAATGTATTGTCGTGAAGTCCCGTGGGAATTCTTCTGATCTCGCAACAGCAATTCTTCACCTTAGATCTTTCTCAAGAAAATCCCATTGACGATAAAAAATGCAATTCAAAAATTCTATTCACTCTTTATTTCTCTATCTAAATTTAAATTAATGTTCATGGTGTAATGAAGCGGGAAAATATTTGAACGGAGTATACGTGCGCGGAGAGATTCGACATGAATGCGTGATAAAATCATTTTAATTTGACACGACAAAAAGATTTTTTTTTTTATTATGAAAATTCCGTTTTCGCTCTAAAAACAAGTATTCATTTTTCGTGATTAAAACGATCTGATGCGGATGCTGAATTGCTGATGGACAATTCGTCAATGAAGATTGATTTCTTTTCCCATTTTTTGAGAATTGATAACAGTTTTTGCGGTTTGAAATCATCTCCAGACGTTTTAAGAGGTGGTTTTTGGAGCATTGAGCTATTTTCGCAATTGTTGATTCAACAAATGCATTTTAATAGTTGAAACCTAATTTCGAGGAGTTATTTTCGATTGAAATATTCCAACTGAGTCCTCCCAGGTTCGTCTCCCTTCGAGATTACATGGAGACTCGGTGACTCATTGCTCCCAAACGTCTCCTATGTGTCTCCCATTGGGAACACGGGACGCTCGTCCCCCGTCAGACTCCCATGGGAGATTACGGGTTCGCGCCGTTACGTAGAGATGAGGGACGTTGCTGAACTCGGCACATTTGCAGTTAAAAAATAATGTCAAAATTCTGATATCAAATTTTGCGTCAACTTTAATGATGAAAAATTATTCTACTCACGTACTGGAGCTCGAATCATCAAAGATTAAGGGGCGTTTTTGCTTTATTTTAATTATAATAAAAATAGTGAAATTAGAAAAAAATACAAAATAAGCAGGGATTGGAGCCTATCCGTTAGAAGCCATGTCACCGTTACTTTTTGCATTATTAGGCTTTTCATTTTTTTCTGATTTCTACCAATTCCATTGGTAGTAAGCTTCTGAATGGATCCGTAGCCATTCCCTGACACTGTGACAAGGATACAACCGCAACAGCATGCGACAGGGTGTCGTCAGGGAGATATTCAACTTTTTGATGACCAATAAAAAAAACCTTTTGATGAAATAAATTTATACAAGTTAAATATCTCCGAAATTGCTCAATCGATTCTCCTCTATTATAAGAGCCATAATCATACAAAATTACAACTTGCTATCTCCATTTTTACTTAACTTATCGTGCGTACAAGAATAAAATGATAAATAAACAAGTGAACGATTTTGTTCCGATCGCCCTCCTCTAGATTATTCTAGATTTACCGAGTACCGAACATATTATAAATGTACACTTTGTCTTGCTGGAGAAGGACCTTGGATTTATTAAGTCACAAGCATAAGTGAGGATTTTGAAAAAGGAAATCAACGTTCAAAACATCTGGCCCTTGTAGCACTACTGATCCTTCAAAACCTCTCAATCTCAGCATTCGATCCTTAAAGTATATGACCCTCAAAACAGTCGACTCTTAAAAACGAAAACGTGAAGTTGATTCATGAACATATTCTTCGACAGCCTCAACCGTATATATTTCATCTGAGTTAGGAAGAAGGCCTGAGTTATATGGATTGCACGAGCATAATTGGCGATTTTAAAGTAAAAAATTCACTCAAAACATCTGATCCTTGAAGCTCCTGAACTATTGAACCTTGGGATCCTTAGTAAATTCTACCGTTGAAACGTATGACCTTCTTTGTGACACTTATCTTGTTTTATCAAGTGATCCCGATACAAAAGTCATTGATAAAATAACAATGTGTCATTTATCAAAGAAAATTTTTAGATGAATATGCCAAGATATACTGAAACGATCGATAACAAATTTTATACATAAGTGTGACTCGATAATACTGATAAGTAGCCAAAATTTTAGATGTTCATTTCAACTTTTACGTATAGTATGGAACGTCAAATTCACTCTCACATGAAAAAATGGTAAAAACGTAAATATCTTGAAAACTTAGTACCAACAGTTGTTTATATTTCGATTGATCTTGATGGAAGACAGTAAGACGAGTATTAAAAAGGAAAAGAAAGCTGAAATCGGACCAGTAGTTTGGGAAACATTGAGCAATACAGTTTTTCACAAAAAGTTGAATATCTCCTAAACTACCGATTAGGAGATATTCAACCTATCCTATCCTATCTATATTCTTATCCGATTTCGCCTATAGGGCATTTCATGCTATTTCAACGGAGGAAATTTTTTTTTTAATGAAAATTTGATATCTTGCATAGGGAGGGCCAATAATAATCTTTCCCGTGAAGACTTTTTTTTTGTCAAAATTATAGCAATTGTTAAATTTGAGTGAGTGATGACTAAACATGCATTTGAACATTTATATCTCAATTGTTATGCATTTTATAAAAAAAAAAAAAATCAAAAGAGCTTGTGAAAATCTTCAAACTCAAAAACACCAAAATGACTTCAATTTTCTCTAATTATCGCTACAAACTATCTCAAGTCTTTTTAAAACAACCCAACGTGAAATATTACCCAAAAGGCGCCAGTCTATTTTAATTATTTCTACACCTTGTCTAAATAGACAAATACCAAACCCAAATTTCCTCTCAACACTAAAAAATACTCAAAAAAGACTCAACAAATCTCCAACCCGGACTCTTTACTACAAGGGGGAGGGAGGAGGATACTCCCTTAATCGGGATTTGGATTTTTGGAAATTAATTACAATGCAACACAATTTAAATCTTAAAAGATCAAATGTATTCTTAATACTCACAAAAATTGAAATTAATAATTTCGAAAAGAAATGTAAGCATTTCTACACCATGAAAAAAAAGACTGGATGGACCACTGGTCCTAACCAGTGCGAAAGATAGAAATTAATTAAATGAATTTCGTCTCTACAATGTAGAAAATGATTTACTGAGACTCTCCGGTCTCCCAAAATCCACTAAATTGAATTAATATAGATTCAAAACTATACTCAATAGGTTCGAGTCTGCGGCCTCGATCTTGAAACTTGAATAATGCTCAAAACTACAACTTATCTCGATTCATCTAGTCCAGGACCCCAGAATCCGCTCTAGCTGCTCCAGACCGTCGAGATCTCCAAGACGACTCAAAATTCGACTTTACTCAACTCTAACTATCTGCTATGCAGATTCTCTACGACTGTAAACTGCTACTCGACTCTATATATCTGCTACGCAGATTTCTCCATTACTCAAAACTACTACTCTATAGACTCTACGAGGTCTCGGGGAGAACTGACGCCACGCGGCCAGTTCGCCAAAAATCATACTCAATCAGAGGGCCTACCCCCTCTCTAATCACTTCAAACTAATCAAATCAAATCCTCAACTAAATGCCACCCGGACTGGATAATCGTTACAATATTTAATGTAGTTTTGACTCAAATACTCAATATAAAAATTTCTCCGAAATTATTATCGAAGTGGATTTTCACCCACGATGCTTGCTCATCCTGGGGATGATTCCCCAGGTTCGTCCAGGATTTTCCCTGACTCCGGCATTTGCTGTCCTTGTCGGAAGTCGCAGCTTCCCCCGCTCCAGGTTGGCTCCTCTCATCGGTCAGCGAATCAGATCCGTCCCTAGGTGGTCAGCGGGTTCCAGTTGGCCCCAAGAGACTTTTCTCAGGGCCGTCCTCTTCTTCTCATCTAAATCCTCTCCTCGACGATAATTCCCAAATAATTGATAATAATTCCAATTTGTTGAAATTTTCCCAATGGTTCCCTCCGGTTTCTACCGAAAGGAAGGGAGCTTGAGCTCCCTTCGAGACTCAGGATTTAATTTATTATTTTAATTTAAAATGAAAATAATTAGAACCTGTGACAACCAGATTGTAACAAGCTTTTTCATTCGGAAAGATTAGATGCTCATTTTACAAAAAGTTTCGATCGAAAAACAAATATTGTTGTTATTTCTCAAATAAACAATTAGAAAAACCGTTGTAGTTTCGTGAGTTCCACTCGGGAAAATCTCAAAAAAATATAAATTGTGGAAAATATTGTTGAAAAAGCGGTGTCAAATTTTTGTTTAATGACATTCACTAACTCGTGAGATATACAATTTTTAATGAAGTCATGTGACGTCTCTGTCGCTCAGTGCCCCGCTCAGCACACCACCGAATTTGAGCGCTCCAGCGCGACCGGGTTTCGTTTGCATTTCACTCACTGAATACGTCTTCCATGGAAAAAATATTAAGTAATAAAGGTGATGAATTGTTTTCTAGGGAAGAGAAAACTTATAAATTTTACTTTTTCGTAGAAGAAAGGTAAACGATTGTAATAAAATTATTAGTTTTCCAAGAAAACCCAGGTGAAATTTTTTTGGAAGCAATGGGTTGCAAGTTATTGACAAGTATAATGTTTAAGAGTTTCC